GCTGGCGGGGGCCCCCGGGGGCCCACCCTCACCCACTGCACTCCGGGCCGCAGCCACAAGAAAGCAATTAAGGGCGCGATGATGGGGCTGGAATTATTCAGCTATTAAGGTGCCTGATAAGCTGGAAGCCACTCAGCTCCATGATTAATCAGCCGGGCCAGGAGCAGGCGGGCGGGGTTCTCGGAGGGGCAGGGTCTGCACTAGGCTCCCGCTCCCACCCAGGCACGCGTGCTCACACGCATGCACACACACGCATACACACACGCACGCATGGGCATGCTCACAGGGCCTGCGCTCCCACCAGGCAGACCTGCACCTAAGCTCTGTCACTCCAGCCAGGGGTGGGACCCAAAACCAGGACCCCCCCCCAATCCACCTGCTCCCATGCTCATCCCTGCACCCACTCTGCACCTACAGGTGACACCAGTGGGTCCTGTCCTCACAGCCCACACGGTATTTACCCCCTCCCTTCCCGGTGGCCGGAGTAGTGCCCCTGCCCCCCTCAGGCAGCCCTCAATGTGCCAGTGTGCGTGGCCTATGGTCTCACGGGGCAGTGTGCCTGTCTGCCTGTGGGACTACAACACCCAGTGGAGTCGGCACTCAGCCCTCCCCTAGGGGAGCCCCCCACATGGTCCTGTCAGAGGCCCACCGCAAGGGGAAGCCAGGAAGGGCCTGCTCAGAGCACAGCCCGAACACTGACACAGACACCTGGTGAGCAGGTGCAGCGCTGGGGGTTAGAGACACAGGCTCCGGGCTCTGCCCACAGCCGGCACCACACCTCCCTGGGCCTCCTCCCTGCGCCTGCTCCCCGCAGAGGCGCCTCCGTGGTGCCTGGTCTGCGCCCCCCTTCCCCCCCGCGCTCACCCCCCTCTGGCCGCAGCTTCCCGTAACTGACCGTAATGGGAAAACAAAACACATTTCTAGCGTTGGCTGTGCCTATTGAGCGCTGTGTTATGGTCTTGTTCCTAATTTAGAAACTTAGTGAGTTGAACAGTTTCTATTTTTCTCTTTAAGGAAAAAGATAAAGTCAGGAGCTTCACCCAGCCCCGGCTGTCCTGGGAAGGTCCCCCTGCAGGTCTCTAACCCCCCCCCCCCCGCCCCAGGCCTCAGTTTCCCTATCTGCACAGTGAGAGGCTTAGAGCAGATGGTCCTGGGAGCTCGCCTAGCTGCCGGCCGAGGGTGGTCCTGGCTCAGGTCAGGGTCCAGGAGAAGACCCCTGTCCTGGCGGGGCTGTCCCCGTAGCTGCCCACACTACGCGCGCACACACATTCACCGCCAGACACACGTGTGCAAACACTCCAGCCCCCCCCCCAACAGAGCCTGCTCCCGGGCCCCACCCGCACCCACATGCACGCCCTCAGATCACGCTGAGCTGGAAAACGGGGCCCATGCCCCCTCAGGCGGGCGATTACAGATTTAATTAAAAGTGACACAGTAAATAAAAAACATATAAAATGTAATTTGTGTGGGTAGCGAGGGGTGACTGGGGAGGGCGGCGTGGCTCCTGTTTTAATTAGGGTGCCTGCTTGTGATAGCGCTCCTCCACTGGCTCGGGCAGGGGCCTGCGGGGGTGGAGATGGCCCCCCTTCACCCCGAGGGCTCCCTGCATTCTGGAGGCAGCCTCTGTCCCCAGACCCTCTACCCAGTGGGCACCCTGGACTCTGAGGTGCCCTGTAGGTGATCCCCGATTTAAGTCAGAACCAAGAGACTCCGGAGCCTTGAGTCCTGCTGCTAGAGCTCCCCATCTAGTGTTCCCCTCTTGGCCCCCGCTTCCAGCTCCCAAGACTTTCAGGAAGTTCCTCCTGATGTCTGACTGAAGTCCTTCTAGCTGTAATGGCCTGGTTTCCTCCTTGTGCAAAGCTGCCCTCCCTGGAGCCTGGAATCCCAGCCTTCTCCCCCGTCCTCTCCCCCCCTCTCCCCCAGCAGAGGAGGAGGGAAGTGTCTGTCACAGAGTTCCTGCCTGTGGGGAGTTGCTCCCTGAACCCCGTGTCCCTGAGTCCATCTGATGAGGTAGCCCCTCCATCGCCCCTACATGGGGCCAGGGAACGAGGGAGGGTGGGGCGGCCCAGCGTGAGGGGCCATCCTGGGCATGCATGCACGCGTGGGGCATGTGTGCGCACACGGGGGACCCTGCACAGGGCCGAGGCTCCATGCTCGGCAGCCTCGGCGAGGCTGTGCCTGGCTCGCTTGCTGCCTGCGTGTGGGTGAGTCTGAGAGGTGAGCACCTGTGACCTGGGTGGAGGGCTGACGGTGGCTGGCACTGGCCAGGCCCCTGGGACCTGGTGGGCAGTGGGTCTTGGCCCGGCCGTGTGTGGGGGCGCGTCCCCGACCTCGCTGCACTCACAGCCTTTGTAGATGTCCGTGGGGATCTGCACCGCCGTGTACGAGTAGTTGACCTTGTTCTTGAAGTTGGCGTCCTCAACGAAGTCCAGCTTCAGGGTGCTGACCTTGGCCCCCTTTTCCACATCCTCAATCTCAGGGTCGTCCTGCAGGAAGGGACCCCCCGCCCCGGCAGTGTCAGGGCTGGCCATGGGGAGGGGGGTCAGAGAGGCTGCAGGCAGGGGAGGGCCAGGGGCCAGGGGGTGGGGACATCTCAGAATCAGACGATTGCAGACAGAGACAGAGAGAGATGCAGAGACACGGGGTGTGGTCCCCTCACTCGGGCGGCCTGTGACTCTCACCTGCTCACCCCACTCATATCTCCCCCCAGATTCCGAAACCAAAACCAAACCAACTCTTCTCCACATCCCGAAAGACCAATCATCAAGTCACCAGCAAGGGAGGCAAACCTGGATATCAGTGAGGAGCGGCGCTGCAGACCTCTGCCCTCGGGACGCGCCTCGTGCAACCCCTGGGGGGGCCTTGGTGCCCTTCCCAGAGCTCTGTGATCCCCACTGGGGCCCTGCCCACCCCTGGCGTCATCTGGGGGGCAGCCCTGCAGCGGGGTGACTAGGTCTGAGGTGGGGGAGCCCTGGGGGAGGGCTGGGGCAGAGGCTAGCACGGAGACCCAGCCTGCTGGCAGCGGGCCGGCAGGGCCCCCGTCGACTTTCTAAAAGGAGCTGCAGCTCTGACAGGTGCCAATTATTCCGTCTCTGGCCGGGCAGGCTGGGCATGCGCCGTGCGCCCCCCGCCCACCGCCCGCTGCAGGCTGGCAGGAGCGGGTCTGAGCGACAGTGTTGACTGCAGCTGAGGGGGGCGGGCAGGCACGGGAGCAGGTGTGCGAGGGGGAAGGGAGGATGGTGGGGAGAGAGAAGGGGAGACAGGAAAAAGGCGGCAGGGCAGAGTTGGGGGGCTTTGTGCCCCGGGAGGAAGCTGTGTAAGTGGCTGAACTGGCCACATGCTCCCCACGGCCCCACCAGGCCCGGGACCAGCTGGGCAGGGGCCAGGTCGTCTCCTCCGCCTGCGGGTGGTCAGGGCAGCGGCCTGGGGCTCACTGCACCTCGGCTCCTGCCTCTGGGGGTCGCACAGGCTGCCTTGTCTGGGGAAAGAGGGCCGTGCCCTCCTGGAGGGCCTGCAGCAACTCCCCTTTTCATCTCTTTAGGGGTCGGGTTTTGTACTGCACGACCCAAGCTCTGTGCTGCCCTCCACCCACCCGCCCCAGCTCTGCACACCCCAGGACCCTCCGCAGGCCCCGGGCGCCGGGAAAGTGGGGAGCAGCCGCCTCAGAGGCGCGAGCACTCACGTTCTGCGAGGAGGGGGGGCGGCTCGGGAGAAGAAAGCCCCCGAAATGTCAGCGCAGATGAAGGGCGCTGGGAAATGTAATCTCCCAACTTCCCGACCAATGTGACATTTGGATTCCGTGCTGATAAGCTATCAGCTGGCGAACTTTTTCCTTCCTTCTCTCCCCCTCCCCCACCTTCTGGCTGGTAATTTAAAAGTAAATGGTCTAGAAAGATCTCTAACTGTACCTCTGGCAAAGATGAAAAACACACACACACAAAACAACACGAGCCGGGGAGCGGCAAACGTGTGTGCGCGGAATTCATAGCAGGGCCGCCGGGCAGCTCCGGGGCTCCCGCCCTCAGCCAATAGATCTTTCTCTCTCTCTATCTCTTTCTCTCTGTCTCTGTCTCTCTCTTCCCCTTCCTCCTTTCCTGGCAGGGAGCGGGCTCCGTCCTGGCCCAGGGGGCGGCTTGTGCGGCGGGCAGCGGCCGTCTCCCGGTCTACGTCTAATGCACTGATTGCTAAATTCACAGCCCGCTGCCGAGGGGGGTACGCAGCTAGATTCAGGGTCTAATTAAAGGTTCGCTCTTCATTTGAATTTCAGATTCCAGCTTTAATTTTAGCAGCTTCTCTGGGCGCCACGGAGGCTCAGCCAAGGGGGAAGCACACCTGCTTTAGCCCGACCCCCCTCTTCCCCCCTGCCCGCCGCCTGCCTGTCCTGAAGGCTCCCCCAGGCCAGCCTGGCACCAGGGACCCCCTGCAGCGCCCCCTTCCTGCCTCTCACCTCTGGGTGTCACTGGAAACCTCCTGCTCCCGGAAGGACACCCCTCAGGCCAACAGGCCTGGGAGAGGAAGCCAGGATTCGGGGTCTCCTGCCCTAGCCCGCACAGGGGGGACCCAGGGACTGAGCTGTGGTGACATCTATTTCCAGAGGGGACAGTTCTCTCAGGGGCACGTGATGGACCCGGCCTCGAGAGTCGACCAAACACTGTCTCTTCCACGTGCTCTGCCCTAAGCACTCTCTCTTTTTTCAATCCTCACCTGAGGATATTTCCCCATTGATTTTAGAGAGAGTGGGAGGGAGGGGGAGAGTCAGAGAGAGAGAAACATTGATGTGAGAGAAACCCACTGTGTGGCTGCCTCTCCCACATGCCCCGACTGGGACCAGGGATGGAGCCTGCAACTGAGGTACAAGGCATGTGCCTTTGACCGGAATCGAATCCGGGACCCATCAGTCCACAGGCTGACGCTCTATCCACTGAGCCAAACTGGCTAGGGCCCCCCTTAACACTCCTGTCTCCTTTGTAGGCCCCTCCCACCCAAAGGTGCCGGTCATCTGAAGGGCAGGCACAGGACCTGGGCTACCTCTGCAGTTGGGGTGTGGACTGAGCTCCGGCCAAGCGCTGCTCACGGGGCCAGGCTGGGGGGGGGGTGCCCCGCCCGTTGAGCTGCTGTTCCCCTCACCGCAGGGAAGGGGTGCACTGACCCGAATGCACCTGGGTGGCCGAGCCTCCTGCTTCTCCGCCCCGCCCGCCTCCTCCAGGAAGCCCTCCCTGAATGCACTCCAGGCCCCTCAGTTCTGCACCTGAGCTGACCCAGGGGAGGACCCCACGTGTGGGGTCCCAGCCCGCCACACACTGCAGGAAGCTGTGCCTGAAGGGCCACAGAGACACAGCCCTGGGGGGTCTGGCCTCCAGGGGTTTGTTGGGGAAGGTGCAGGGTGGGGGCTGAGCCTCCACACCCCTCAGGCTCGAGCTCAGAATCCCAGGCTGCTGAGTCCCACCCTCATTTCCCGGCAGAGGCCACTGGCCCAGAGAGGCGTGTGGCTCCGCCCCTCCCCAGCAGAGGGCGCACTTACCAGCTCAGCATCAGCCTTGGCGTCGTAGTACACGATGTCTTCCTCCTGGTGGGGGAGGGGGGGCGGGGAGAGGCCTCAAC